CGTCCACGAAGACGACGACGACGACGACGACGACAGGGAGGCCTCTCCCTCCGCTCTTCAAATCCCTTTTACGCCCTCTGCTCTTTCTCCCATTCTTAATCCTTCCCTCTCGCTCGCAGAGAGTCTTTCTACAGTTCTGGGTACACCGGGAGATTTATTAGCTACCCGGCTAATTGGGAGGCGAGGACGGCCGCCAGGATTCCAGAACGGAGATTTCCGCCGCCGAAGGGAATGCGCCACTGAAAGAGGCGATGCGATGCGACGCGACCGGACGGCGCAACGGACGGAATCTCTGGCGAGCAAACCAGAATCGCCGCCAGAGAAGCACCTTTTGCCGCTCCTCGGCGCGCGGCGTGCCTCGGCGTCGCCGCGTTTTTCAATTACGGCGCGACGCTCTATCCGCTGTGTGTTCCGGCTCGGTCAATTAGCGAGATTGATTCTCCGCGAGTCGAACCGTACGTGATTATTTTCTCAACGATACAAAGATGATCTACGTTACGTAATACTTACATACTTGATATCGAAAAGTGAAACGTCAAAAAAATATAATGAAGAAAAACGATTTATTTATTCTTTAAAATTGAATTCGCTAAAATCATTTAACATAATTTTCTCATTAAATTGTGTTTAATTTTCTTTGTCAATTTTCTCTTATCAAAGTTCAAAAAAATAAGGTGCTAATTTCATAGAAATTCTATTATCGCGACTGATTATAAATCTCGTCAGGAATGAAAGATGCTCGGTTTCTGACGCACGCGTGAGAACGCTCCGCGCCACGTCGCATCACCGCGAAATCTGACGCAGGTGAAGAGAGGATCGCACGTAAAATCGAAGGAAACCTTGGTACTCTCGTTTGATCGTACGTCGTCGCTTTTGTATGCGTCCTCACGTACGGTTCGTTCGATCTTTTCCGCGAAACCTAAGACACGTCGCCTGACATAGAGAGAGAGGAAACACTTTATTCGGTATACGTGAGTGCCTTATCCACCTACCTGCAAGCTTACCAACGAGCACACAGACGTACACGTGCATGTATACGTAAGTCATAGGCCCGATAGAGTGACAGACGAGGCAGGCAGGCAGGCAGACGGGCGGCCAGATAGCCTCGCAGCGGGATTCTACGTGCTTCACGTGTTCGCTCACTTCCTTCGATCTCTTTAGACCTGCCTCGAATAGCCTCCGCCGCCGCGATGCTCTATTACGCCGGATATGCAGATTGCACGAATTCCGGATCAGTCCGTCCGCTGGCGACGCTCGCGGTTCACCCATTGACTCGAGAGATGCGACGCTAGTAAAAATACCATCGTATAAATATTACTGTAAACTACTCAAATACCAAATATTTTAACATAATATGTAAACTCTTTTTTTATATTAAATGTTTCCAAAACAAAGAATGAAAATGATAAAAACTCGCCGACTGACGCCTGCTGCATTTCAGATTCGAATAAATTGTCGAAAACTTTACATCGATAAAAATTGATAATTGCTTTTTATTTACTTGTTGAAATTACCTGTGTAAAGTAACATTTTAAATGTTCGGTTTGTGCGTAGGCACATCGATAAGATGTCCCGGAGATTCATCTCGTGTTGACCGCCAACGTGAAACCGACTGCGGTCGCACAGGAAATTAATTAATTGACCATTGCGGGGAAAATGGACGTGCATCGACTTCTCCGAGAATACCGCTCGGCTTAATTAATTTCCTACGCCTACGCAGGTTGATCGACGCAGTTCCTTTCACGAACCTTCGAAAAGATCGTAGAATCATAGCTAGCAATCTCTCCAGGCTCCAATATCCTCCCGATATTGAAGGTTGCAGTGTTTCGATCGTATAGTTATTACTTTCGATTTATTTTTCATATATTTAACAACGAAACGGGAATATTTTTTGTTAGCGCATAATCATGACAAATTTCTACTCACGATGCTTTATGCGTTTCGATGTGTTTACGCGCTCAGACACGCATTCAAATAATGGTGTACATCAGATCGTACAATTTAAGAAACAGGATAATTCATGTTACGTACAGCACGACCGCAGAATACGAGATGACGCATTCAGTTGCAAAGCAGCACGTATGCGCATCCCACGCTTCTTTTCCGCGTTATATTTATTATATTTTCTTCAGTAGATTAAAAAATGCAATGAGATCAAATGAATATTATTTTTTAATGTGGCTATTAAACATGTACGTTTATAATTTTTAATTTTATTAATTATTATTTTGTCATTAGAAAATTATTGTGTTCCATTTACTGAACGACCTCAATTTCTTAACTTGACCTCACGTTAATCTTTTTTTATTCGCTTTCCGCTACATTTTCTCTATTTCTCAATGTCTCTCACGAAAGATTTGGTTTCCATTCTATTACTACTTTCCATTTGGTTGAATGATCGACTGCAAAATGCTCCTTGAAGATGCATCTGCCTGACTAACTCGTTGGCTTTCAATTTCCCCTTCGATATTTAACGGTGAAAGGGGTACGCCCGCGTAGTTGTAAAGCCGCGAGCTGAGTAGCAAAACGCCCACGCAAATTCCTAGATCCATGATTGCGCCGCCTTCAGCGATTCTTGGCTCTTCCTTCTTGGCACACCACGCGTGTTTCACTTCTTTGTTTTAGAATTGCGGCAATTCTCAGCAGGTTCATCCTCAGAAAAATCAGAACTTAAGTATTTCGCACAATTTGTAAAATGTCAAGTTAAAAGCCGCTGGATCTCCGACTATCTTCCAAGCTGTTAGAAAAGATTACTTTTGCACGACAATACGGTCAGACGAACTTATAGAAATCGAGGATCGAAAAATCTGTAACAATATTGGACACTTCTTCCGACCTTAACTTCAGAACATTTACGTTTCAATTGTGCTGAATTCGTCGTGGCGGAATAAAAGCGGCGCGACAAAGGAAGCGTCACGACGTCGAAGCACAAAGAACGTCCTTTTCACGGGGAGGCAAGCGCGACGGTCAGCCGACCGGCCGCATTAGAATATACATATATATAAGGTGTAAAAAAAAAGGCGAGCACGAAAGTCGCGGGCGTGGGAAAGCCGGCCTCGAGCGAGCCACCAATTAACACCAATTAGCGCTCATCTGCTCTAGGTACTGCCAGTGAGCGGAGCTCGCTGACTTTACGTTTAGCGCGAGACGTCTGACTCGCCGCAGATTGGCTACAACATGCTCTTTGTGCTGCAAGGACTGTATCATCGAGTGTATTGCCTCTACCGACAAAACGAAAGAAAACATATGGGACAGCGGTCATAGTCGTAATCATTGCCTCTTACTGACAGATTTAACACTTGCAAATTTAACAAGTTTCCGCAAACTCTTGGACAAACAATATTGACTTGCAACGCGATGCATAAACCTTTCCGATCGCCGAGAGAAATTGACTCGCTAAGCTCGCGGGTTAGTAATTGAGTCACGAACGCACAGTTAAGCGAGTACACGATACCAAAAGCGGGAAAGGAATCAACCGGTAAGAAGTAAGTCACATATCAAATCGACACTTGCGCAAGAAGCGGATCTTTCGCAAGTAGAATCGGATCACTTTGTCAGACTGTAATCCTTCGTGCAACATCCCTTTTACCTCTTTTAAATTAAAAATATAATTTTTTGCAACAATTCATCTGTAATTTTAAAAAATCTATTTGCACGCGCGCGGATATATTTTTATATTGATAAATATTTCAACGAGATGATGTGCATTTTAATATAAATTATTTTTTGAAGTTTAAAAAATTTATATAAGTAGCTCAATTTCTTCAATATTACTCTGCGAATGCCGAAGCCGTAGCTCTCGGAGTCCGCGCGCTCATTGTCTAATTCCGAGGATCGTCAAGTTCATTATACGAACGCAGGCGCGTTCGCGAGCGAGCGGGACGCCGATGCGCGCTGATCTTTTTTTCGTCGGGACCGGTTCCATCAGGAACACTTCCAGCTTTCTACCATCGCATCAGCCCAACTCCCGTGTAACCCTGTCGGGTGCCAGCGCGCGCGGCTGCACGAAGAAGCAGACAGCCACATCTTCCGCGTGGCAGCACGATTCGAATTTATTTATTGCATTAGTCGGCCGTCGCTCACTCACGGCCCTTGATTGGTGGTACCAATCGGGTTCCCCTTTGCGAACGACGCAACGTGATGTTGGAGATAAGCCGACTGTACAAAGGACGAAACCGTCGTGTCGATACTCGTGCAAACTCTTGTAATTATCCTGATTAACGACGACTCCCTCGGTTCTGCATTATTATGCGAATGTTGTTGATGAATCGGCAATCATTACAACACAATTCGCAGTAATGATCGAGTCTATTATTCTTTATGTTTCCCGTTAAGTTTTCCTATACATTTTTATTTTATTTTATCAAATTTATTACAACAGATTAACACGATTTATATCTCCATTATGGTACAAGTAATGTTCCACCGTGTAGTTTAGCACGGCGGATGCGCTTTCGTGTAACTCCCGCAGTTACATAAGTTGAAATCCTGAAATTGGTAACCCTACCCTATCGTATAATTTAAACCGCCCCCAAAGGTCATCAGACGCTGTATAAATTTGCAAAAGCACCAGGCTCCGAAGGTTCCACTTAGAGCTATGCCTGGCGAGGAATTATTCAAGCTGGGCAAGGGTTAATTGCTGCCTTCATCAAACCACCTCCCTTCCTCTTTCAAATGAGCCCTTGTCGCCCGTGACATCACCGTTTTGTATTTAATCCGACTTTGTTGCGTCACGGCAACATTGAATCGCACAGGCAGGAATCCCGATGCAATCGTTACAATGCAAGAGATAATCCCAATTGCAAAGATTTATTTAAATAATCATTTAATTAATTTAAAAAAATATTTTTATGATTTAAATTTAGCGAAGTAAACTTATAATAATCTTATTGATAAGCCGCTAAAAGTCATATTTTCGATTAATAACGTGAAAATGTCTCATCTTCAGTATTTGCTGTTACAGCTTTTAATAAAAATGATTTGAAAATATTCTGTTGCAGAGGCAATTCACGTTAATTTTGCAAGCGAAGGACGAGCCGACCGACGAACCGATCGAGGAGACGAGTTACAGTGGCATCGTCCTGCCAGGAGCCAAGTGGCACACTCTCAAACATCCTGGAAGAAACGCTCATTTAGTGTATCGGGTGCGAGTCCAGTGCGATGAAAATTACTACAATGCCACCTGCACCAAGTTCTGCCGACCTAGAGACGACATTTTCGGCCATTACATCTGCGATGAGAATGGGGACAAAGCGTGTATACAAGGTTGGAAAGGCGTCGACTGCGAGACAGGTGAGTCCATGCTTGATCGACCATTTCGATTACTCAGTCGTTATTATACGCATCACTATCAAAGAGTATATTTCACACTCTAAAATCCTACATTTAGATGAATTTTAGTGCCCCAAATTCAACAACGCTCTTTTTAAATAAATTCGCAAATGTTTTATTATCTATGACAAACGATGATTCGCCAGAATTTTTATTTTAATCATGCAGAAATGCGTCGCAAGAAAGAGAAGCAAGAAATTTCTCTATCATATTTCAGTATTAGCACACTTCAGGTATGCTATCATCTTTAACATGAATTATTGCTGATTAATCTCACGTTACCACGTTACCACACGCATAAGTACATATTACCATGCATATTATTAATTATGCTAGACGCGGTGTAACGTATATACAAAAAATATTCACATAAATATATTCCTTTGACTCTCCTCTGAATACTTTTATGAAAAATGACGCATAAACAAATCACTTTATCAAAATATTATACAAAACTTTCATTTAAGTATATGATTTCTTAATTATCGTATTTTAATTTTACAATGCAAGTGATATAATAAAAAAAAACACGCGCTTTGTATGTATAGACGCAAAACGAGTTTGCTTAATTAACTATTAATGAAGCTTTCTACATCTTATCCGAGAAAACTTGCTCGAAATAGATACGCAATTTATCGCGGAAAATGTAACTCGGACAACCGCATTTTCTCTTATCATCTCGTTACGGTCTAAGCGCGAGAACTCCGACAATATTTATCGATAGCGGAACGATGCGGAGCGATTTTTTGCCTTCTCTTGTATGCGGAGCGACCGTTGGAGCAATAATTAATCGTTCATTGGAGCGTGAAATCTCGTGACAGGGCCTACCGCGTATACCGCCTATAATGAATGTCGTTTAACTCGATTTCTCACGAACGCGCGTGCATCTCCAAGCCTAACGAGGCTTGCGATTCGATTACCGGCCATATATATAATCATCGTTCATCGCGAGAGCTCAATAATTTTGAGCTTTCGCTTTTCGGTTGTTGATGAAACGACTTATCACGTAATATCCTTGTGGCTGACTTCCTCACCTCCCACCTTTGCAGCGGATGTAAACAGCATGAGAGAGATCGCGAAAAAGAGGCAGCAGAACGGAAGGACGAACGAAACTGCTCGCCACGTTCCCGATTTCTATCTCTATTTCCACCGTTCCGGATTCTCGTGCGCTCAACGGGGAAACGTAATTCCGTCACGTCCGCGATTTAATGCGCAGGAACCCGCCATGGCGGGTCGGGGGTCAAGAGGAGAGATGATCGAGCGCCGCGGTGCGTGGTCCCGTACAGATCGTAAAGCACGCGAATTATACCGGAGCGTGCCTCAATGGGCGGACGTTAGACGCATGTCGTACGATCGCCACAAAGGTAGCGACACATCACGCCAGGTCCCGTCGGACAATGCTGCGCCGACCAATATAACAGCTCTTTCTTCGCTGCTTAATCGTTACTTCCGCCTCGCCGTGACCGCTCCGTGGTTACTGTCATCCCTTCCCTTTTAAGACGGGGCACAACGCACGCATAAGGTCGGTCTCAAACGAACCGACGCAAGGAGGTCCCGACCGCGCGACGATTCCGGCCGTTAAATAGATGCGCGAGTCTCCTCGTGTTACGCTTTTATACGATCTGTCTTCAGAATAAAAGTTTTTAAACGGTATCTAACGAAAATGAGATGATATCTAATTCTTTTGTAAAGATTGAGATATGAGTTTATTTCTATCTTGCTACGTGTGGTTTTAGTTAAATTTTTTCTAGAAATTTATTTGCAAATCAGTTTCACAAAGAACCGCGTTTATTACTTTATTATTGGACAAATTTTGGTAATAACAAAACTAATTGCGATAAAATCCTACTGTCATTGATTGGCATTCAAATAATAATTTGCTTACACGACCGTTTTACACAAGTCTGCATGTTTATGATATTATGTTAAAGGGAATTTAAATAATGTGCAGTTACTTCAACGATGCTGCTGGTTTTCCTTGGCACTATGAACTTTAAGATTTTATACTTTGATAATTGGCGGCTGTGCAATCGTCTTGAGAACGGATTAATAATCTACTTTTTTGCCATATCGGACACGAGTGATAACTGGTTTATATTGCAACACTCTTATTTCTAACTTCAGATAGACTTTTGGTAGTCTTGTCAGAAGATTGAATCTTCTTGACACAGAGCGACGAAATGCAAAAAATTTCTCTCGTTTAATGATGCAGAAAGATCGTTTTGAGCACGTTCTACTTAGACGGACGGAAAAATGCGCAAACCCCAATTAGAGTCTATCGGCGGAGATCGCGTGCTCGTGCAAGGCGATGAGTCGCGAGTCTCAGTTACGAGAAGAGAGAACTGGCTTCGACATTTTTGTCGCGCTGTGAAAGGTCAATAGGAGAATTTCACTCGCGCATCCTCTTCACACGATGCGCCAACCTGGTTGCGCGAGAGAGGTAAAATCTTCGCAAGTTAAGCGCATACGTGGTGCTCCTTTAACATCTGGCAGCCGCCAGAAAGGATCTTGCAAGTTCAACGAACGCGAGGCGCACGAAATCCATAAATTTCTGCACACAATTTTACAATTAAAATATAACGCTTTATTACATAATGATAGAATTAAATTTACAACGAAGAAATGTCATAAAGATTGGATTGTGCATGCAAAATTAAAAATACATGATTATAATTTTATTAATCTCGCTTGCACAGATATTTTGCAAATTCATTTTTATGTATACTAAAATATCTATATATTATTATTTTATATTACATATAATTTATATACATACATAATAATATGAGAGTGTTTTCTTTCTTCTTTTTCAAAAGATTAAAGACATTAAAGGAAAATTAAACAATAGCGGCAAGTGAGTCTTTAATAAAATTCTGCTAATAATTTTTGCAAATTTTGACATCTTTATTATTATCTAAATAATTTAAACAATGATTAGTACCATGAATATTTGTGCAGCAATAATTGCGTTCTAGCTTCGATCTCTCTCTTACTGATTGAGTCGCTGAAAAGAAATGGATATTAATTTCATCTAAATACCGTTCTAGGAAATTCTACACAAAATTAATAACGCGCTTGCCTATGTTATTCCTCGTCGAAATGAGTTTTCATCCTGTGCGCGCAATAAAAATATAATTACACTCTGGGAGAGAAAATCGCGTCACGACAAGGTTCTCGACGCGCGAATTACCGACAGACAAATCAAGATTTTTCGCACGACGCACGCAACCGCGAGGACGTAAATTTTCCGGGAAAACGCTTCCGCATAAATCTCACACGCGAGTGACGCAACCCCGTCATAATCGCACGCACAAAGTAAAAGGGTCTCCGGGGTCGGCGCGTGAAAAATCACAAACCAACGCATCGGTGTCCGGCAATCCACCTCTCTTCGTACAGCTGTTTCGTCGCGACCCGTGCAAAAAGGATGTACGAGACGAGGGAAAAAAAGCTGACGCCTCGCGAAGGCGAATCGCGCAAGTTAATTTACTTACTGCTGGCATATTAATCAACTGTGGGCCGTAGGCATATATGAGTAGCAGAGTGCGCGATCGTTCGAGAGCCCGGAGGGATTTATAGTTTCTAAACTGCGAGAGGGGGAAAGTATGCGCGAGAGAATCTCTGGAGATTGTAAAAGCCCGAGGAACGACGACTTGAGATCGACTCGATCTTCGGAGAACGACGACGGAGAGCGACGACGTTCGCGAACACAAGCGCCGAAAGTAACGTGGATGCATCGGATGGCGAAAAAAGAATGTCGCGAATCTGCCGTCGTTTAAGCGGACCCGAAATATCGCGATGCAGTCGCATAAATATCCGTAAATGTTCGTTGTCCATGCAAAGGAGAGAGCGAGAGGCTATTAATCATTAAGAATGTGGTCCACACGAGCACACGCGTGCGTATATATACACGGGCCGTGCGTGTGTACAATAATCGTGCGTATGTAACGATAAAGGTGTTGGTACAAGATCGACTAAAACCCCCGAAAGGATATACGTGCACACGAGCGTTGTCGCGCGAGCGCGCGGCATGAGTTTTCGTTTCACAGTCGGAAGGATAATCCTTCTCTCTGTCACTTCTCATCTGTCTTTCTGTCCCGCCGGCTAATTGAGTTGCTCGGTCCCGGCGAGATCTCCGTCACGTTCATCTCTTCCTGCCGTTCCTTTTTCCATCCCGGCGGGAGGAAGGGAAGGGAAGAGAAACCGAGTCGTCATCGTCGCCATCCTCGCCGACGACCTCGTCGTTTCCAAAGATACCTCGGCCGCTGGATTTCGTCATCCAACCACCTGTACGAGGGAGCTGTACCTGTTGCTTCGGCTATTTCAGCACGCCACACCGCGAGACGTCCGCGTAATCGCGCGTAATCCTCTTTGAACCTACACAAAGCGTCGCGCGCGTATTCTTCCGCGTTCGACGCGTACGCCCATTTCGTTCATTACGTCTCCGCTAATTACGTTTGCCCGACTCAATGACTATTACGTGTCGCATGCCGCGCACGGAAGACGAATAAGAGACGCTTAATCCGTCCACGTCACCGACCAAATGCCCCGAGACATCTAAGACGTCTAAGAAGATTTTTTTGGAACTGCTTTCTCAATAGCGATGTATGATTAATGCATAAACTTGTGAAAACATTATTTAACCAAACATCAAATCTCTTTGCAGCACGCAACTCATAATAACATTAATCTTCGCGATACAATTATACAAAGAAAAAAGCTTGAAAAAGTGAAATATAATGAAGAACTGTCATACGCTTAGGAATCCTCACGCTGAGGAATAATTATCGTCAATAAGATTAGTCGAAATTTTTATGAATTATAGCTACAAGCATTTCAGACTAAATGTGATGACAATACGTGTAATTTCTAAAAATATTTGCAGCTGTCTGCAAGGAGGGTTGCCACCCCGTGCACGGTCACTGCAACGTCAGCGGCGAATGTCAATGTCGCCACGGTTGGCAGGGTGAATTGTGCGATCAGTGCATGGTGTATCCGGGCTGCAAGCACGGCTATTGCAATGGCTCGAGCTGGCAGTGCATCTGCGACACAAATTGGGGTGGCATATTGTGCGACCAGGACCTCAACGTCTGCGGCACCCGTGAGCCGTGTCAGAACGGCGGCACATGCGAGAACACCAAGCCCGACCAGTACCGATGCACGTGTCCGGACGGCTTTTCCGGAACCGAGTGCGAGAATGTCGACAATCCGTGCGCATCCAATCCCTGCTTGAACGGTGCGACCTGCCGCGAACTCGGCGAGATCGCGCAATGCGAGTGCGCACCGGGTTTCACCGGACCGTATTGCGCGACCGACATCGACGAGTGCGCCTCGCAGCCGTGCCAGAACGGCGGCACTTGCGTGGATGGCAAGAACAGCTTTGCGTGTAACTGCCCGCCCGCCTGGCAGGGCCTGCTCTGCCAGTTCGACGTGGACGAGTGCACGCTCAAGGAGCCGCCCTGCAAGAACTTCATCACCTGCGTTAATCTCGCTGGCGATTACAGGTGAGTAATTGTTGCATTTTCTTTATACAAATCTTCTATTATATTTTTTTTATAAATATCTTCTATTATACTATTATAAAAAACAGAACAAATCGGGACTTTTTTAACATTTATTGAGAGATTAAGATTACCTTTTATATCCCACTTTGCTTTGATAAGGACTTGGCGACTTTCGTACATTAAATTAATAGAGAGAGAGCGGAGGAAGATATGTTTAACAGTACATAGAAATGACTAATTAATAATATTCAATAATCGCAAGAGAAATAGAAAAATATGGAGAATTATGTTGCGGTTACCTTGAAGTTTACTTGATAATTCGCGGTCAGGCATATTATTAACAGGATGGATGTAAGTACCATGCTATCTCATCGTTTACGAACAAGTTGACATTATCATAAGCTGGAGTTCTCATCCAGTCTTTCTATTTTTTCGAGCTACTGTGCGTTACGTACAAATGATAGGTTTCCCACGAATAATGCAATTATTGGAAATTAAGTTGTTATAAGCCAGTTTCCTCCGTTCTTCTCATTGTACGGTGCGTTAAACATCAATGATAATAATACATCTTTATTGCACGACTTACGACAACATGGCAATTTCTCGCTTTACTATTCCACCTGTTTTATTATCTTCATAAAGTAATACTGATGGGAAGCAAAAATGTCGTATCGTAGTTGATCGCTGGCAAAACTGCTACGAACGTGTTATAAAATAGCGAGTAATAATTAATAAACGCGCAAAAGTTTCAGAAAACTGTTTAAACCATTTTTCTTCATAAATTATCTCTACAAGTTTTGCAATTTAATTTGCTTGACAGATGCCGATGCCGGAGCGGTTTCACCGGCAAGAACTGCACGAAGAACATCGACGATTGTGTCGGTCAGTGCCAGCACGAAGCGCTCTGCATTGATCTAGTGGACGACTACCATTGCAGTTGCACCCCCGGCTATTCTGGCAAAGACTGCGACGTCGACATCGACGAGTGCGCGTCCAAGCCGTGCCAGAACGGCGGCGAATGTCGCGATCTGGTGAACAAGTACGAGTGCGTATGCCCGGTGGGCTTCACCGGCTATCAGTGCGAGATCGACCGCGATCACTGCAGTCCGAATCCCTGTCGTAATTCGGCGCCCTGCTTCAACACGCAAACTGACTATTACTGTCACTGTCCGGTACAATGGAAGGGCAAAAACTGCTCCGAACTGGCTCCGCATAACCCGCAGTTTGACGTGACGGAACTGCTTGGCTGCGGCAGCGAAGGCGCGCCATGCGGTGGCCGCGGTCGCTGCAGCGGCGGCAGATGCATCTGCAATCCGGGCTACACCGGTACACACTGCCACGAAAACATCAACGACTGCCGCGGCAATCCCTGTCTGAACGGAGGCACGTGCGTTGATCTGGTCAATTCCTTTCAGTGCATCTGCAGAGAGGGATGGAGCGGCGATCTTTGCGATCAAAGTGAGTAATGAAGCATGAAAAATGCTTTAATAAAAATTAATGAATTTTATAAATTTTACAATTTAAAAAAATTAATTCTTTCAGACTTGGATGAGTGCGCGACGCAACCCTGCCGCAACAATGGCACCTGCGTAGACGGCGTGGCAGATTTCACGTGTATTTGCCGGGGCGGCTGGAAAGGTAAGACATGCGCGTTGCGCGGCAGCCACTGCGAACCGGGCACTTGCCGGAACAGCGGCACCTGCCAGGATCACGGAGATAGCTTTGCGTGCCACTGCCCACCCGGCTGGGGCGGCGCAGCCTGTCACATCGCGTCACCGTCAGCGTGCACGAGGAATCCCTGCAAAAACAGCGCGACATGCGTGAACACGGCTGACGGCAGTTACCGATGCGTCTGCCGCGAGGGCTTCGAAGGTCCGAATTGTCAGCGCAACATCGATGACTGTCAGTTGCTGCCGTGTCTGAACGGCGGCAAGTGTGTGGACGGCATCAATTGGTTCAGATGCGAATGCGCGCCTGGCTTCACAGGTCCGGATTGCCGCATCAACGTGAACGATTGCGCGAGCAATCCGTGCACCAGCGGTGCCACATGCATAGACGGCATCGCGAGTTACACGTGCATCTGTCCGCCCGGCAGAACCGGCCCGCAATGCGAAATTCGGACGGCTGGCGGGCCCGGCTGCACCGCTGCTACATGGAACGACGATTGCAACGTGTGCGAGTGCCGGAACGGCAAGAACCAATGCAGCAACGTCTGGTGCGGACCGGCCAATTGCTTGAATGGTAGTTCCTGCTTCACCCATGAGGTCTGCGTGCCCAGTCCGGGCGAGAGCTGTCTGGCACCACCGTGTCTACCGTGGGGCGAATGCCGCCCGGTGGAAACTGGCAGACGAGTCGGTCCGCCGGCGTTACCAGCTCCGCCGTCCTGCTGGCCCGGACAGTCTATTCCCGGGCCAACTTGCTCGAGACTTGCGATACTACTGCGAAGGGACACTCTCACGCCCGGCACTTCGGTGGAATTGCTGTGCCGTCGTCTGAGGAAGCTTTTAGCTGATCCACGGAGGCCGCAGTCGGTGGTGCTGTTGTGCGATCTGAAACCTGGCGACAACGACACAGTGGAGGTGACCATTTTTTCTGAGGCGGCAGCTGAGGTGGCGCGAGACCTCGGCGAGATGCTGAGCCGTTCGCTGGCGAGACCTCTCGCTTTTGCCTCCGTTCTAGAGGTCAAAGTGGAAACTGCACTGCTCAGCGAACCCAGTTTGGCGGGTGCGGGCAACACCGGTGGATACGTGGCTGTTCTAGGAAGTGCTTTGGCGATTGTGCTGGTGCTGGCGCTGTTCGGTGGCCTCTGGTATCTCAGAAGCATGAGGCACAGATCGAATCTGACACCAACCACCAGCAGTGAGACCTCCTTGCACCGTCATCGTAGTGATCTGGACGAAAAATCGAACAATCTGCAGAACGAAGAGAACCTGAGGAGATACGCCAATCCACTCAAGGACTCCGATCCCGAGCCTAGGGTATCCGTCGTGAGACCTTTATCAGGCACATCACTCGGTACCTTGAGCGGCACCGAAGAGAGCCTCGAGATGGTGTCCGAGGAAGGCAGGCATTGTTTACCGCCGCTCTACAAACCGCCCAGCGCGGAAGCTAGAAACAATACGGCCAGTTTCAGCTATGAAGAAGGGCCGCACAAGCCGTACAGCAAGCCCAGGCTACAAGAACCGCCATACCCTCATCAGCAACCGGGTACCAGCCAGACGTCGGGGCCGCATCAAGTGCTGACGGTACACGTGTGATTATTAAGATCGCTAAGATAAACAGTTGGAAAACAATTCGACGGTGTCGGCAATTTTTCCTAGTTTTTCTTGAAGCAGCCTATCTCGACGATGGGCTAATGAAGGTTTTTAGAAGGTAAAAGATAACACTAGAGACTGAAAGCCTGCTTGGACGTTTTAATTCTTTGTGATAACAAGAAAAATGGAACTCTTCCGACTTCGGAATAACTCGAGATGCTCTCCTTTGAGATTGTTTTTCGTGAAAGTTGAGTCTAGAATATATTAGGGACAAATGCAGAGAAAAGAGAAAGAGGATGCACAATTCTTATCAAGTTCCGCAATGCTATAATAAAATAGATATTATGAAATAATACGTAATTTATTAATGCCTGTTTAACTTGCATCTTTTTACGATTAATTTGTAGCACCGAGTATCGATAAGCGCGTAAATTTTTTACTTATTGATGAATGTATAAAAATATAAATAGCGCGATTTTTTTATATAAATGACATATTTTTAAATTAAAAATTTCAATGAAAAACAATTGGAATTTATTTTCTCTCTTTCTCTTCGTTCGCTCCTTTCGCGCTTCTGTGCGATGACAATAAGCGATCGACAATTATAAATAATTTTAATGATAATGAACAATTGTTATCGTTGTACATATGTATATAGCTCGTACTTATTAATTTTGCTAAGTCTGTATCTTCTTTCCATCTTCCTCGGCGTTGCCATCCCTATACGCGCCTTGATTTCACACTACTATTTGACTGCTGCCATTATATTCATTTTTTATTTGCATAATTTGACAAATATAAAATATAAATATACGGGTAGTACCGTTGCATCTGCGAGATGCATGTTTGTCATGTATAATCGTCAAAGTAAAGCTGCATTTTATTTGAACAAAATTGAGAAATGCTCTAAAAAATATGCATAAATGCATACATAATGTGTCGATAAATATGGCGAAAACACATGAGTTTTTAAAAATATTTTATCATTTTATGATTAACGCTGCGCTGACATTGCTCGATCGTCGTATGTGAAAGTGTGCTTTGTATGATACAATGTGGGCTTCAAACGTTCCTTCAAACGATATTATTGTGATATTCATAGAAGAAACAACGTCGTTGTATAGGATTATTATGGTACTCCGCGTGTTCATCTACTTCAGCACTTACTCGAGATTTATTTTTGCGAGGGCATGGCACGTGATTTTTACATCATGAAAGATATTGCCACTGCAAGGAAATGTATTATTCACTTATGTGGCAAAGAAGAGAAACCGAAATACTAAATCATTACATATTTTGATATCGGAACATATTTCTTACACTTCTATGTACACTTATTAAAATTTAGAATAATGAAGTAACATGAAATTTTCTGTTGCACAAAAATATTTAAGAAAATATATACGCGTTCTGACTCAATATATCCTTGTTATGCGTATTTTGGTTTGCTCGATACTTTTATGAAATACTAAATCGATACATTGACTTGCGAAGATTATGTCAGTAACGTAAATAATGCGATTTTAGAATATATTTGAATGCAATGGAAACGATGTATATAATAACGCTATTGCATCATGGAACGATGTAAATAAAGTACATACGTCCATATCGTTCTCATCCCCAGTCATCATCGACCCCTATATTTAGATGTGCAATTTGTTTTTTATACTAACTATACGATCTTCTCTCTCCAACCCTTAGCAAAGCGTTTGCAATAAACTAGTTTAAACTGAGAAGCATAGCTCGTTCTAGGCGTGCATAGATTTTTACAGCAAAAAAGGAACAAAGTTTTATAATAGATACCTTATTTTATAGAGAAAACTATATTGTATTGTACGAAAAAAATACATAGAAGCAAGACGCGCGATAAATATATATAAATATATAAATATAAATATATATATTATATATTATTTTATATTATATATTATATTATTTTAATTTTATTAGCTTGTATTAATTATTTCCAGATCACAGCTGTTCATTTTCGTACGATTTTCTCCTCGCCTCTCGTCGGCTTCAAAAACAAAGCCGACGGTAAAAAACCGTGTCTATCGAATTAATGATGTAGTCGTCTTCTGATCTAATCGACGATAGATAGTTAAAGAATATTCATGCGTTGTGATCATCCATGTCTGACATTGAGAAATGTGCAAATGAATGCGTGTACATAGCTCTTTCCTACTATCCCCGGTTTCTTCCTTCCCCGCATAGGTTTACGACGATGTGAAAGATTTCAATAAAAAGTACAACCGTTGATATTTAGTACTATTTATTATACCTTTGCATAATATATTAATGGCTGTTATATTAATAGCTGCTAATTATTCTTGTCACGTTTAAATTATGGAGTTATTTTAAACGTGTCTTCCTGGAGAGGAAACCAGAAATTGGCAATGAGAAGACCGCATTTGCATGCATTTATAATTGAAAGTTAAGAAATTAAGAAATGTTTGATATAAATTAATTCGTCAATTTTTAAGTTTTTATTTTTATAGATAGTAGAAAAATTACGCTGAAGAGATTGGATTTTTATTATCTTCCGATTGATTGAATGACAAGTTTATTCGTTTCTCTCTAAAGGTAGAAAATACGGATTCAGCACTGTAGATTGTATCAGTGGTGTCGATTTCAATGGCCCGTGACGATTGTTTAAAGATAATACCGATGCCATTATCATCGAAAGTGCGTTTGATAAAGATTAACAAAGCACTCGGTAAGTTCTATCTCGTTGCCATGATGACAAGACGGGACGAATCCTTTCGTATACGAGCATAAGTCGCGTACAACCGCTTACTGCTGAATGAGTGATCTACCGAAATTACAATACAATGGCCCAGAAGAGCCACTTGACGAATAGCTAATAGATGAGTCACATCTCATGATATTATGTCCGTGTGAAACAATCGATGTCAAAGACAACTTTTCCGAACGCGAAAACATACACACAATACCTTTCACCACTTTATAAGATACATCAATAATTGAAATCGTTTATCAAATCTCACACAAAACCGGTCGGTGAATCGATTTACTATAATTGATATTTGTAGCAAAATCGATCCCGTAAAATTAAATGATAAATATACTTTCAATTGCTTTAATAAAACTATTATTAAAGATTTCTTAGCATTTTCTCGTAGAATAGCAATTCAATAAATACAATACTTACTAACTGTAGGGTTGGGAAAGTTATTTTGTAAAAGTATCTAGTTAAAGTTACAGTTCTTTTCACTGAAAAAACAACTAGTTACAGTTACAAGTTACCGACTCTGAAAAGTAACACGTTACAGTTATAGTTACTCAAAAAGTAACGAGTCGTTATTTTTCAGTTACTTTTTTGCAATAAATGTGCACTACTATTTTAAATATAAGAATCTTACATTTCAAGATTTATTAACTTATTATATACTACATAGGTACTTAATTTTGTGTTATATTATTTTATATGTAATAAATCACAATTGTTTTAAACTTAAAATAAAATATTTTTTTATTTAAGTTAATATTTATTAGAATCAAGTAAATATTTTTTTATTTAAGTAAATATTTATTTGATACAAATAAATATTAGAATCAAGTAAATATTTATTAAAATCAAGTAAATATTTATTAAAATCGAGTAAATATTTATTAGAATCAAGTAAATGATTTTTTTTATTTAAGTAAATATATATTAGAATCAAGTAAATATTTATTAGAATCAAGTAAATGATTTTTTTATTCAAGTAAATATTTATTAGAAATT